GGGACACAGACCCGGTGCGCGGCTGGGGGCCTGGTGCCAGCCCGTAGGCTGATAGCGGGTACAGGCCGACCCCCCCCCCCCCCCCCCCCCCCGCCAGAGCCATGGCCACACGCCCAGCCCAGGTGAGAACCAGCCGGAGGCGCCAGGTGGACAGGAATCTGCCGGCCCAGCTGCAGCACGGCTGGGCGCAGCCCCCACAGGACAGAGCCCACGGGGTGGAGCTGGGCCCTGGACAGGACCAGAGCGCAGGGGGATGTGGCTGGACAGACAGTGAACTAGCCGAGAGCGCCCAGCACGGGGAGCGGGATCGGTGCAGGCAGTGACAGGTGATAGAGCAGTGTCTGATCCAGACTGGAGACAGACGGGAGCGTCCCCTGGAGAACAGAGCCCGAGGGGTGAATCCAGAACAGACCTGAAGACCCCATGTCACAGAGGTCCCGGGCGATGCTCTGGAACTGCTCCCCACAAAGCCAGGCAGGACTTTGGGGAGCCTCCTCTCCCTCGGAGCAGACTGTCTTCAGAACAAGAAGCTCACATGGCTTCACCTTCCTGGGTCTCTCCTGGGAGCATTCAGCATATGCCCCTCCATGCGCTTCCCACAGCGAGTCCACCCAGGCAGGGTCCTGGGGAATCCAAAGGGTTCTGCACCCCCACTCCGCAGTCAGACGTGACTCTCGGCCAGCCAGTAAAACAGAAGGTTTATTAGACGACAGGAACACGGTCTAAAACAGAGCTTGTCGGTACAGAGAACAGGACCCCTCCGCTGGGTCCATTCTGGGGCCCAGCGAGCCAGACCCCCCATCTGCCCTCACTCCCCGTCCCCAGCCAGCTCCAAACTCCAACCCCCGTCCAGCCCCTCCTTCTCTGGGCTTTGTCTCTTTCCCAGGCCAGGAGGTCACCTGATCCCTTTGTCTCCAACACCTTCAGTTGGCACCTTTGCAGAGGAGGGGCCCAGGCCATCAGTTGCTAGGAGACAGAGTGTCGGGCATTTATGTACCCTGGCCCTTTGCTCTGCAGCAACCATACACCCTTATCCCACCACCTAGAGACTTAAGAACTGCATAGGGGAAACTGAGGAAAACATTAAGAACAGTCCCACTTCGTCACATAGGGACTCTCAGCCAGCCAGTAAAACAGAGGTTTATTAGACGACAGGAACATGGTCTAAAACAGAGCTTGTAGGTCCAGCGAACGGGACCCCTCGGCCGGGTCCATTCTGGGGTTCAGAGAGCCAGACACCCACATCTGCCCTCACTCCTAGTCCCCAGCCAGCCCCAAACTAAAACCCCCTCCAGCCCTTCCTCCTCTGGCCTTTGTCTCTTTCCCAGGCCAGGAGGTCACCTGATCACTTTGTTCACCTTTACCTATTTCCATGCAGGGGGGAAGGGCCCTGGCCATTTGTTGCCAGGAGACAGAGTGTCAGTGATTTATGCACACTGGCCTTTATCCCACCACCTAGAGACTTAAGAAATGCATAGGGGAAACTGAGGCACACACAGTATTCAGAGAAAACATTAAGAACAGTCCCACTTCATCACACCCCAGACCCGGCTTCAGAGACAGGCAGAGCCCAGGGCGCAGGAACGGCGCTGACCCACAGGGTTGGTGCACAGAGTAACAGGCGACAGGGAACGTCCCATGCAGACAGGGAGCCCGGCTGGAGACAGGCCAGATCCGGAGTGGCCGGGTCGCCCGCTGGACAGACAGAGGTGCGTGTGGGGCGCGGTGCCCAGCTACTCACCCAGCACCTCGGTCTCCACGCTAGCCGTGAAGCCGGTGACGGGGTTGTGAGCCTGGCACTTGTACGTGACCAGCTGATCCAAGCTTGTGGCGTTAATGGTCAAGCTGCTCCTGGTCTCGTTAGTGTCGGTGCCGTTGAGAACCCAGCGATAGCTCGGGGCTGGGACGGAGTCGGTGACACACGTCAGGGTCAGCGGGGTGGGACATGGCACCTGTTTATACCTTGCCCTGCTGGTGCCCTCCCTCCCCCGATCTCCTCCCTCGGTGTAGATGGGCCACAGCCCGCCAGGATAGACCCCCCAGGACCCATCGGCCTGACAAGCTGCTGCTGCTTGGCAACAGGACGCCAGCAGGCAGCCAAGCAGCCGGCTGCTTCATGTCGGGGGGGGGAGGGGGGAGGACGCACACACGTGCTTCGCAGCCCTCCCCTCCCCTGGCACCCACCTGGAGGAGATGCCGAGGGGGCTTCCGGTTGGAGACAGACAGGATCATCTGCAGCCAGTGGACCTCACTCACCTGAGCCGCTGCTAGGGCTTTTGTGAGTGTTTGACCCTGTGATCCGGAGCCTGCACCTAGCACCCAAACTCCCTCCCAGAGCCCAACCTCTCAACCGTCCTACACCCCAATCCCCTGCCCCAACCCAGGGCCTGCACCCCAGACCTCCTCCCCCCACCCAAACTCCCTCACAGAGCCTTAGGCAGGTGTGGGGCAGAGTTTGGGGGGGGGGCTCTGAGCATTCTGGGCACCACCAAAATTTCTACAAACCTGCCACCCCTGATACTTGGAGGGGGGGTGAGGAGGCGAGCGGAGAGTCAGTGGATGGAGGGGGGCATCCATTTTCAGTATTTTAAGTTTTGGTACTGCATTGATTGACTGCTGTGTGCATCAATATAGTGACCCCCTGGGTCTTTGAATGAGGCTTTATACTTGGGGGGAGGGGGGAGGAGGCGAGCGGTGAGTCGGTGGCTGGAGGGGGGGGCAAGTCTCCCAGGTTCAAAATCTGGGACTGTGTCTGTTGGTCCTTTTTGCTACTTTTCTCTGGGCTGGGGGTTGTCCCAATGCTGCAAAGGGTGTCCCCAAAGGAAGGCGCTCGCTTCTAACCCCCTAGGCTGTCAGTATGTCTGATCTTCTCTAGTCAGACCACTTGACAAGTTTGATTGTCCTTGGTCTGGCTCCCAGCCCCGCTCCAACTGGTGCAGCTGTCTGGAGGTGCTGCCTCTCGCCTTCCTCATTCACACCTCGTTCATTCAAGGGGGGGGGGGGGGGGAGATCTTATTCTACTTCTAGCAAAAAGACAGTTTTCTTTTACATTATACTACCTTATACAAAAATGCATAATGCAGAGATTTACCTACAACTGCACTGATTGACTGCTGTGTGCAGTAATATAGTGACCCCTGGCAATTTGAATGAGGCTTTATACTCGGGGGGGGCGAGGGGGCGAGCGGCGAGTCGGGGGCGGGTGGGCAAAGAGGCGAGCAGTGAGCCAGCAGGGGTTCTAGGGGAGGGCATGGGGGTTTCTGGCAGGGGAGGGAGGAGGCGAAAGGAGTCGGTGGGGGACTGACTAGGAGGGACGCAACAAGCCAGCGGGGGGCTAGGGGGTGAAGAGGGGTGTGATGGTGGGGCCGAGTGGGGAGCGGGCGGGTCCTATTTTACTGCTGTGATCTGGTCACCCTATGCGTGCCGTTCCTTCCCCCCCCCCAAAAAACCTGGAAGGAGGGTTTGTTTCCGTGGGGCGGGAGGCACTGGGGGGGGTGTTTCAGGGGTGCTGGGGGGGGCGCAATTTTATATTCTTACCTCAAGCACAAAAATAGCTAGTTACAGCTCTGCTGGGCAATGCCGGCAGGGACAGGGGCAGTGCGGCCGGGGCTGCAGTTACTCACAGGCCAGCGTCACGGTGCTGGGCTCGCTGCGTACGGAGCTGACGGGGTTCCCAACCTCGCACTGGTAGGCGCCAGCGTCGGCCCGGGTGACACCCAGCACCGTGAGGGTCCGGTTGTCAGGGGACAGCCCCAGCCGCTCACTGGGCGCGAGGGACGACCCGTCCCGGAGCAGGAGCTGAGCCCAGCAACGCCCAGAAGACGCTGACAGGCAGAGCCTCCCCCCCCCCCCCCCCCCGCCCCGAGCTGCCCCCGCTGGGCCTCGCCGGGCAGCTGGGTCAGGACCTGCATGTGGGCCCTGGGCGTTCACCAGCTCCCTGGGCAGGTGCCAGCCCCCGGCTCTAGCCGTCCAGCTCCTGGATGCCTGCTGGTCCCAGTGCCCCCCCGCCGAGCCCCCCAGGGCCAGCACTGACCCCCCAGGCTGGATATTAGCCCCCAGTGCCCCCCACTGAGCCCCCCAGGGTCAGCCCCCCAGCTGGGTGCTCTGGGTCCAGTTTCACCTTCAGGGACTGGTGAGTGTGACCCCAACAGCGCCTGGCTCCCCCCCCCCCCCCCCGCCGACGGGGGGGGGGGGGGGGCTGGATCTGGGGAGTCCCGCGCAAAGGGCCCCACAATGACGTCATGAGCCCCCCCTCCCCCCGTAGGCGCCAAATCTGAGCAAAGTGGGTGTAAAAGAGCAGGTGGGTCTGACCCCCCCCCCATGGTACAGGGGTCTTCCCAGCATGCACCAGGGCCCCTGGGGGGGGCCTCATCTCCGCAGCTGATCGTACACACCCCACTGTGGAGCCTGCAGCTCTGGGGAAACAGGGAGGGGTCAGAGACACCCTGGGGATCCAGGGACACCCCCGCCCTGGGGGGCCCAGACCCCCCCCCCACAGGCTCCCGACAGCCCCTCACCAGCCGGGCTCATCCCCGGGGGAGACGCCCAAAGCCCCATCGCTGGAGGAGGAAGGGGGGGGACACGGCCTGGGATCAACGCAGCTCCCGGGGGTGGCACTTACCAGAGACGCGCAGAACCACCTTGGCGAGGACAGGGTTAGCGGCGGTAGGGATGTATATCAGCACCGAGTAGTTCCCGGTGTCATTGAGTGTTAACCCCGCGATGTTCAGGGCGCAGCCCGGCCCCGCTGTCTCCCGCCCCGTCTGGGCCGGGCCAGGGACCTGAACGGGGGGCGTTAGTGGGAAGTAGGTGAGGATCCGGTTGTTTTCAGCAGCGGTCGCTGATCGGTGCCAGCTGCAGAACACGAAGCCCTGTGGCAGTGGCTGTGGGTCCAGGCTGACGTCCCCTCCCACCACGGGGCTCGGCGGGGTGAGGACGATGGTCACTGGGGTCTGGGCCGGCGCCGGCTGGAGGCAGGAGCCCAGGACGGAGGCTGCGGGGGGGAGACCAGAGAGACTGATACTAACTGCAAAAAGAACAGGAGTACTTGTGGCACCTTAGAGACTAACACATTTATTAGAGTATAAGCTTCCGTGGGCTACAACCCACTTCTTCGGATGCATATAGCCCACGAAAGCTTATGCTCAAATAAATTTGTTAGTCTCTAAGGTGCCACAAGTACTCCTGTTCTTTTCGCGGATACAGACTAACACGGCTGCTACTCTGAAACCTGATACTAACTGGTGCCCCTCACTCCCGACCTGCAGCCCCTCTGCTTTCCTTTGCACTGTCCCCGTTACAGCCCTGTGTGTCCGGGACACCTGGGTCCCCACCACCCCCGCTCCACCCTCTCAGCTGCAAGGGACCCCTCGCCAGGTGCCGCCCGGCGCCTTGTCCTGCAGCGGGACCTGCCTCGACCCAGGGGCGGCGTCTCTGGGCCGGGACCCTGGAGTCCGGACCCACAGGCAGGGCAGCCCCATGGGGCCCCTCTGGCCTCAGACTTCCCGTCCCAGCCTCGTCCGCCCACTTCCCCTTCGCTTTGGAGGAAGGAACCAGTATGTGTGGGGGGGGAGGGGAAGGTTCTTCTCTCTTCTCCCCCCGTGGGGTTCCCGGTCCCTGGGTCTCTGCGTGGGGCTGGTTCCGCCTGCTAGATCTGGGGGAGGGAGTTCAGTGTGGGGGGGTCTGGGTGTGTCCCCCCCAGTGCTCTGGGACAGAGACACAAACAAACAGTTGATCTCTGACAGTCCCCCACACAAAGCTGGATCTGTGGGGAACAATGGGGCTTCTATGGTGTCCCCCAGGCCTCGGGGGAGCCTGGGATGGAACCAGCCTGGGGAAGGAAGCGTCAGACCCCCTCTCCTGCTACCCCAGCCCTAGGGTCCCCCCACCCACCTCTGCCGGTGCCCCTCAGTCCCGACCCGCAGCCCCTCGGCTTTCATTGACACGGGCTCCTATTGGAGGCCT